CTGATAATCATATAATCAGGTTAAGTACCTCTAATCCTCTCTGGAACTGGCATCCTGAAAACATGAAGGAACACCTTGTATAAACAAGTGCATCTCTGATGCCTTTCTGGATTGTTCTCATGACAGCTATATTGCCTCAAAGCAACAGCCTTTATGACCTATTTTCCTCAGAGCAACAGCGTTTGTGAACTCATTGCCCCCAAATTTGTGATCTCTCATCCAGCTGCTTGCCAGTTGACACGCTACAGCAGCAGCAACAACTTCCTTCTCATTCCCTTCCCCTTCCCCTCCTTCTTTTTCCCCCTCCTCTTGTTCTCATTTGTCTGGATGAAAAAAGAAAGCTAGAGTTTCCTTCAAATCACAGAGACCAAATTGCGAACAACAAAGATAATAAGAGCTGCTTCTGAATAATTTTATACCATCAAAAATATAATGTATTTGCTTTTTATGAACTTCAAATTGGGGGGGGGGGGTGTTTCATTGTTATTAATTGTAAAGATAATGGAAATTTTCAGTGGACTTCAGTTTTTTTAAAGCTGGATTTGACTTATAGAGAACATGCATTTAAATAGTTAATATAGAAATTATAATAAACATTTAATATAGTAATAAATATAATATATAATAAACAGTTAATTTAGTAATTTTCTGTGTTCCCCCTCAGGGTTTGTAAGAGAGTATTAAGTAATATATTTGGCTAAAATGGTTAGTGTGGTACAATTAATTTCCTTTCCCCCCCCCAATAGTTTGAAGGAGAAAACTAGGATGAGTGAGAAAATTGGCTGCCTTGAGAACCTGCGTAAGTACCGTAGTCTTTAAACATGTAACTTACATGCTATAGATGTGCCAAACTGCTGCTGTTTGAATGCTAAAAGCATCTTTCTGAGTCTTCTTAAAGGAAAATGTGCTAAAATCATTGCTTGGTGGTGGCCATCTGGGGTCATGGTGACCTTGCAAATTAATGTTATAGCTGTTTTCCTAAGCAAGAATGCATTAACTACACAAACTTTGTGTCGTTTTAAATTGTGATTATTTAAGTGACATATTTTAGAAACAACTGTAATAATATTAAAGGTGTGATCCATCCATCCTTGTATATTATGGTGTCTCTTTCCTTCTTTTGCTGACGCTTGGTTGAACACAAATTATACTTAGTGTGTTTTCAGGTGTCCAGCTGGTACTCCATTCTTCAATGATAGCCCACTCCTTAAAGTTACAAGTGCAAAGTACTAATAATATAAGTATAAGCAGAATATATGTAGCTAATATGGCTCATGAAGTGGCTTACAAAGCTTTATGAAGCTAATTAGAACAAAAATATGGCAAATGCTTATCTAAGTCCAAAAATGGGTCTGCAGTGAGCCCAAGTTTGTCTTTCCAACTGTTGTCAGTTCCACCCAGGCCACTGACAGTGCCACAAAGTCCCCACTCCAGCTTTCAGACATGTCTTCTCATTATCCAAGTTCTTGGAGCAGATGCAGATTACCAGTCCTGTATGAAGCTGTCAATTTTGATCTGTTAAGGAAACCAAGAATTATTTCTTGATGTTGATAGGTACATTTAAACTTTAAATGATTCTGTACTGTTCTGCCTTTGTTGCATTGCAGAGGAACTGCTGGTTCCTCAGAGGAGATTGAGTTATATGTTATTTTCCCAGGGAAAACCAATTAACCTCCACCAAATGTTTTCTTAGAAACTATAAGATTTGTTAACAGTTGTTCTAAGTGCAGGTTCCTCAGTGGTCTCTTACATCACCAGTACAAAAACAGCACCATTTATGCAACCAAATATCATAAACTGCTCTGAAGTAGTAACGCTGCAACTGGTTAGTTACAGTAGTTCTAATTTACTTATAATCTACTCAGAATCCTACTGAGATCCATACAGTGTTCTTTTGATTGCACTGTAAAAGTCCTGCATCTTCAAGTAAAAAGGGGGAAATGCCATAATTTACCTATATCTCCCACATGCAAAAGCATATTATTGCAAAATTGCAGAACCCTGGCCTGGTTGATGAGTTTTCTGCTCACATATTGTTAGAAACAGGGTCTGTCTTCCTCAGCCACTCTGAGGGACACACCAAAGAAAAGAAAGTCAGTCTGGAGTATCCTTTAGTTGCGCTTTATTGGCTCAATAAAGGGAGTCGAACAAAAGCGAGCTCAATCAGCATTCCAAACAGCTCTATTTTTATTCCCTAGCCTTGACCATAAAATCCCTCCTTCTTTCCCCATAGGCCAAGGTAATTGAAGGTTACATCCTCTACAGCTCACTTGCCCTCCCAAATAAACAAAAAAATAAGCTAAATAATATTCATGAAGGTACTCTGCGTGCATTCTGTTAGCTCTATTCTACTGAGACCGTCTTTGCCTACTCAGCTACATTCCTTCTACTTCTTATCTTATTTATGGCCTTGTCACTGTTTCCTTTCTAGACAAACTGCAATTGTGAGTCTTTACATCTGCATTCAGCTCACTTTAATAATTTCACTTCCCTCACATACTGTTGAACTTCAGCAGCTTAGCACTGTGTTGCATTTGCCCTATAATGCTGGCTACTGAGGTTTAGGCTAGTTCAAGTAGGAAGCTGCTAATTTAGTCCTTAACCTGAGTAGTAGAACTCTGCAGGGAGGGAGCCTGGAGGGGCAGAATTGAGCTCCACAATGCATGCTCCCCATTTTATTTTCATTCCACATTCTAGAATACTTACTGCCTTCATGATTGGAAATCCTTAGGGGAATTGACTATTAGGATTAGAGAAAGGGAAATGCATACATGAAGGGTATGCATTTCTCTAGTACATATGGTACATATTCTCCTTTCCACCACCCACATTCAGCTGTTAAAATAGCCCCTGTGTATGTTTGATTTCAATTTCCCTTAACATTCAGTGATTCCTAAAGGGCAGTGAGCATACTCAATATTTGTTGGTCCACTGCCAAAACATTTTTTAAAATCTGCTCTGCCAATCAGCTCTTCAATGGCCAGTCAGCAGCCTTACTGGGTAAAAGCCTTACCTGGCCCCATCCACTTTCTAACAATATTTGGCGGGCACTGGGAAGGTGTCAGCAGGTGCTATGATGACATGGGCCCCACATGAGGATCCCTGCTCTAATGTAACCTGGAATTATAATTCTTAAATCGCAGTGTTTAGGGTCAGTTTTGCTTTACTGTGTCTGTGCATAGTGGTTTGTCTAGTCTCTTCTTCTGTACTACAGGAAAGAAGCATGACCTCTCATGTTTTAATTTTTAAAGGATGTTAGTATAGGACAGTTTGTTCTTGATGTGAATGAGTATAGCCTGTTCTCAGTGTACACAGTCATATGGAGAAACTGAACAGTAACTCGAGGTGTGCCGGGGTATTCCAGGAGCAATTTACAATAATGGCAGTACTTTCTGTGATTTTACAAATAGCTGTCGCTGGATTATGTCAATAGTGCATTAAATCCACATTGAAAATATTGTGTATAGTTTGGGTTGCACTGTATTTGAATGGTATACCTTATTTGCAGCTGCTGAACATCTTTTTTTAAATTAATATTTCATAGTACTTAAAATAGCTTGAAATGTGTGCTTTTTTCTGTTTTTAGCCTGTGACTTCTGTCAACGGACTGAAGACTGTCCTGAAAAATATGGGGAAAAGAGGACATATGAGGAATTCAATCTCTCTGTTCATTATTACTGTCTAGTAAGTAGTTTCTGTTGAACCTGCAAAATTCTGATTATCCTAATTGTAATCAGAAATGCTGATAATTGGAAAGCTCTTTGTCAATAGAAACCATTTGATTACATGCCGGTAGAGTAGTATTTTTCTCTAGGATTGTTCCAGCAGTTGTGTATTTTGTTGGCTCCCTTTGATTATACTTGTTGTCCGATCTCAAATGCTTTAATAGTATACACACATTGTACCAGGTGGAGAGTCATATGACATGAAACAAAAGCCCACCAACAAGAGGCAGCTGGGTTACAGTGCAGGCCAGCCTTTGCAATGTTTAATGTTTATTTATTTATTTAAGTTATGGGAGTCAAGGTGGATTACACAGAGTGAGTCAATTCAATCAACAAGATGGGACATTCACTAAACAATGAAATAGGGTTTGGGTTGTAGTACCAACCAGAAATCTGATAAACAGAACTGACACATTAAATGATGCAAAACTACGTAGCAGGATCTAACTTACACCAAACTAAACACATTAGTATAGACCAGTCTCTAATAATTTGTCCAAGTAACTTTGTCAATCATTAGAAAATCCCTCTTGAATAATTAAGTTTCGAATAGTTTGCAGAAAGGCAGGAGAGTGGGAGCAGGGACTTTCCTGATCTTGTCAGACAGATGAGTGAAGCTGTTGTGGCAGAGCATAGTAGGGAGAGGCACCCTTGCAGATATGAGAGTCCATGGACACATAAAGGGCTTTATATGCGATAGCTAATACTTTACACTAAGACCGGTAACTGATGGGCAGCTGGTGGAGTGACAGTAGAATGGGAGTAATATGCATGCTCCATCTAGCTGCCAATAATATGTTTCTGCAGGACTTTTTTTGTATAAAAAGCCCAGCAGGAACTAATTAACATAAAAGGCCACACCCAACAGCAGAAACTAATTAGCGTATTAGGCCACACCCCTGACAGCACAGTTTATTTTCGTATTAGGCCACACCCCCTTGCCTTCCCTTGGCTTGCCCGGGTGCGCTGCAGCTGCGGGCAGTGTGGGCAAGCCAGCCCTTGGACAGGCCAGGGAAGGTACAGAGAGGCATTTAAATGCAATCGTTCCAGGAGCCCCTGGCCCGCCCACCTCGGGGTCGCCGGGGGGGGTCGCTCTCCAGGCCTTCCCTCTGTAGCCACGCACGTAGAGGTTTTGGCTGTAGTTGGCATGGCCAACTCTGAAGCCAGCCGGAACTCCGTTCCTGTGCGTTTCTGCCCAAAAATAGCCCTGTGTTTCTGTAAAATAATGTTTGAAATGTACATTCAATGTCAGTAATTTGCTCCTTTTTGTCACAGTTGATGTCAAGTGGGATTTGGCAGAAGGGTGAAGAAGAAGAAGGTTTCTATGGATTTTTAATTGAAGACATCCAAAAGGAAATAAACCGAGCTGCAAGACTGGTAAGAATATAACTTGGAAGTCTTTGGATCAGGCTAAAACATGCTTTGTCAGAGGGACATAGCAGTAGGTATGCTAGGACCTTTTTAAAAAATTAAATATTATCATACACTTACTCGATAAGGCTGTCATGTTGCCACAGCATTGTAGGCAGCATTCTTCTGAATAATAATATGTGTTTATAATTCAGAAGTAGTTTCCATTTACCAGTTCTTGTAGAAAAGATTATGTAGTGAGGTAATTAACATACTGTGGGTTTTTCCTTCACTTCACCTTGAAAATAAGGTGGTTCTTCCCATTATTTCTGAAATTAGTCGCTTCTAACTTATTGCTTCCCCTAATGCAATGTGGGGGAGAAACCCCTCTGGTTTTAGATATCCTATAACTGGAAGATCATTCACCACTTTGTGTCCAGGATGTTGTTTTTTTTAAAACGAAGGTACTGAAATCTATAGCAGAGACACATGGTTACCATTGCACCAGCATAATTGCAAAGATGTTTGGTTACAGAGCTGATTATCAGTCTTACTCAGATGTTTCCCTCCCACAGTTGTCTGGTCTGTGTTCTTTGCTACCATGAAAAGTATGGAATAGATAGTTAGGAATCTTTCTTGACGCTGTATGGCATCTTACCCCAGTCTCTAGGAGATAGTCAGTAACAAGTAGTGGACACGCGTGTGTGTGAGTGTGCGTATTGTAATGACTAAACCATGACAGCTAGATGGGGGTGCCAACAACCTGAAGAAAAAGGCCTGTCTCTTTAATAGAGACTTAATGTATGGAAAAAAGCCGGTAAAGTTTTTCATTGCATGGAGGTAAATAATACCACCCTTTAAGCCTGTATTAAAGGGGCAGGACTTTTTTGTTATTTATGTTGTTGACAAACCTAAATTTGAACAAATATGCAGTTGGGGAAAATGAGAACCCCTTAAGAACTGTCTGGTATCTAGTGATCTGTGAAACATTATTCCTCGGGCTGGTAGGAGCCTAGTAATTGCCCACACACACATCAAGGGTGATTTGGCATCAATTGTATGCATGCCTTTTGAACCCCCTAGGATTTTGGGGGCCTTGCTTGTACTTGGAATGTGTGGAGCATTTGCTGTTGCATGTCAAGAAAAGGTTATCTGGTAGGTGAAACAAATGCACCACTGTGCAGTCATTTTACACTTTCAGGAAACAGAAGGGAATAGTCATTTCATTCTTTGTGTCTATAAGGATGTATCTGAGAAAGTCACAATAATGTTAGAAGAACTCTGCTGGATAAGATCAGTGATCCATCTAGTCCAGCATCCTGTTTCACTCAGTGGCCATCCAGTTGCCATGGCTTCCCTTGATGCTGTCTTTTAGCACAGCTCCAAATAGTTTACCCTAGTGTGGAGAGATTGCTAAACTTTACTTGGATTCCATGGCTCAGCTAGCTTGTGAATGTGCTCCATGAAATGGTTATTCAAGAGAGGGAGGGAGTTTTTCAAAGAACTAGTCACAATACAAACTTGTATTGATTGCTGGTAATTAGACATTATGAGTGGAAGCTTCATGCGCCTTACATACAAGTCACAACACAAACTTATATTGATTGCTGGTAATTAGACATTATGAGTGGAAGCATCATGAGCCTTACATCGGACAACCTTTATGCTGCCTACATCCTCAACACCCTCTGTGTCATTTTGGGGCTACTATTTCAGTTCCCACAGCTGTTACAGAAGCAGCCACTAATATAGCCATATAAGCTCTAGAGCAGGGTTCTCCATGGTGCCTGCCAGTTCTTCCCTTAGTGCCCACCGAACTTTTCAAGAAAGTGGGTGGAGGCATTGTAAGACAGGACTTGTTACTGTCTGCCCTCATTCAAATGCAGCAAGCTAGAAACACGGATCTTTCTAGTAAATTTTGTTTGTTCTTTTAAAATCAAAAAACTGTGTGGTATTAAATTATAATGAATTAATTAGCAATACAAGCCCATGTGAATGTCATATACGATCTTCAATATTAATTTGTTTTTGTGTGTATATCTTATTTCCTAAATTTTGGAAAAAGTGTAGAACTTAAAATAGTCTTTGTAAATAATTGATCGTTCCTTTAAACCTGGTTTAATATCTATCTTTTTAGAAATGTAATATCTGCAAGAAAAAAGGTGCTTCAATTGGTTGTGTGGCATCCAAATGCAAACGAAGTTATCACTTCCCTTGTGGAATAGAAAGAAAATGCATTTTCCAGTTCAGGGAAAATTTTCCGTAAGTTTTGTATGTGTGTCTGTGTGTGTTTTTAACCTTCTGTATTGGCTGAATTAGATTATAAATTCACTGAAAAACTGTGGATCTGACATGAGACATTAAGGTTTTCTGACTATGAAGTTTATCTTTCAAGTTTATATTCTGTCCATATTTTGTTATCAAAACTTAGGAAAGCTGTAAATTTCAGAAGGGCAACAATTCATCCTTTTCAGCAAGATTTGGGTGGATGTTTGTGTTCTGCATGGTAATGTGATACACCAGCCATTATCTGTTGCATTTCTTGCCCTTCTGACTTCATAACCAAAAAGTACAATATTTTTGTTTTTCATATTCTGTATTAGTGCTACACATACCTCCTTTCTAGGGAGGCTGTTTCAAACATCTAACAGAATGGACTTTGGCCCATAAAAACTTGCATTAAAATATTTTTTGGTCTTTAAGATGCCAGAAGACTCCTTGTTTGAGTGAACAATAGCTTTTTAATCTAGCAAACCCTGAAATGCAGTAACCAGTAGATTTTGAAATCTTCCTGGAAAATATTTTGTTTACATCAAATATTAATCTAATTATGGAGAAATGTTGCTTTTTGTTTTTAACACGGATTACATACTCTGTTGTTGTAATAGCTATAAAGATTATGTGACTAGATGGATCTCTGGCTCTGTATTTAAGGTCATATTGTTGGAAACATCGACCTGTTCAAAAGCCTCCCTCAGACTCACAAGGATCTTCGCAATGTACAATATGTTTGGAGGTAGTAGAACATTCACCATCATATTCCATTTTGACAACTCCATGCTGTAAAAATGCTTGGTTTCATAGAGACTGTTTGCAAGTAAGTCACTTTGTGTTTTGCAGATTTTATATTTGGCTTGAAATGCTTCTTATACTAAAAAGAAACATGTTATAAAATAACAGAGTGGAATAAACCTTGACAGCAGATTCTGTCATGCTTGCCATTGAAGCAAAGTAAAATTTCATGGTAGAGTGACATTAATAATGCTATAGATAGCTCTGTGCTTTCACCAGTGATCTCTGCACATTCAGGTCAGGGGCAGTGATCTCTGCACATTTACATGAGGCTGTCCTTAAAGACTCTTTGGAAACTTCAGTTAGTCCAAAATGCAATGGCCAGGTTGTTAAGAGCTGGAGGGGCTGTATCAGCCCTGTACTGGAAGATGACTTGGTTTCCAAGAACAATTCAGAGTGCTGGTGCATGCCTGTAAAGTATCAAGAACATCACGGGAAAAGGGTACCCATTCTGTCCAGCTCACTGTTTTAAGATCCTTACCTCTGTGTCCTGCCCATTGAGATGAGGCAGGTGATGACAAGAGATAGCACTTTCTTGCCATGTCACCCTGTCTTGGCAGCTTAAGGCTTATCATGCTAGCTATTTATCCAGGCTTTTAGCTGACTTTTTTGTTGGTGGCTGCTTATATGATCTTTCCCTGTATTCCATTTGATTATGACTGATAGGTGGTTCTTATGTTGTCTTACGATATTCAGGTTTTTGTGGCTTTTTCGCTATAATGTAGATTGAGATTTTTGTCTTGTTGGCTGCCTTTAGCAGTTCTCTGCAGTAGTCACAAGAAATATTCTAAATAAATTTTAAAAAGTAAAAAAGAAAGGTCCCAGCCCTGAAACAAACATAAATTATATTTCACCAGCAAGAGGTAAAGAAAGGGAGAGGCATAGGTTTGAACAAATTCACATATGCTCTTAGAAAATCAGTTCTGTCTGAAGCACATCAAGGTACAAAATATTATTTATTACTTTCAATTTATATCCCGCCTTGCCGGGCAAACTGGCTCAAGGCGGCGTACAGACAGATTAAAATACAATAAAACAATAAAGTGTGATAAAATTCACATAAGCAACAATTACATAAAGTGCTATTGCATACAGATGGCGGTTCCTATGATGTCTTACAATAAGAGAAGGCAATAACCAGCGTTGCAACCTATAAAGTGGCCCGCACTTTATAGTTGCAACCTATAAAGTGATTTCACATGCAGTTAATCTTGCATATGAAAGTTTTTTTAAATAGCCCCAAAGCACAAAACAGTTTCTGCATACTTTTGTGCTCTTAACCTCTTAGCATGCTCTTTTACTAAACACTCAAACAATGTTCTTCTAATTGTAGGGCACAGGCGTGAAACTCATTTGTTAATGAGGGCCAGATCTGACATAAATGTCACTTTCTCAGGCCGGGCCATGTGTGCCATAAAATGTAAGTGACCCACACCCCTTCTTAGCACCTTACTAACCACCCTTTGCTTGATATGCACAAGACGTTTTGCACAACACAGAGAGCTGTTACCTGATAATCAAGGCCAGTTGCTGCATTCACAGGCTTATATAAGTGAACACATTTGGTGAGCCAGCCAGTGGCATTTCACAGGCACCTGTGCCCATGGGCGCCTTCCACAGGCTGTCTGCAAGTGGGAAGCCACTTGGCTGGGCTCTGGGAGGTGGAGAGCCAGCCATCTTTCCAGCAGCCCAAGCAGCAGATGCAGGAGCCAAGGGCAGCAGAGCTCAGGGCCAAACCAGCCCTTCTTGCCCCTTATGGTTGCCAACTACAGGTTGGGTAATCCCTTGAGATCTGAAGGAAGACCCTGGGAAGGGCCAGCATTTGGGGAAGGGAGGGACTTCAGCAGGGGGTATAATACCCTAATATAGGCCTTTCTGGTCCACATTTGGACTGGTTTCCCCTCATTTGCTCACAGGCCAGATATGAGCCGTAGACGGACTGGTTCCAGGCCCCAAGTTGTATGTTTGACATGTCTTGTAGACCATATCCAATCTGCTTTCCTAGGTATGTTCATTAGTACCAGTTGTTCTTCATGATCTCTGTTTATTACACACATGGGATTCTCAAGTGTGTGAGTGCAGAGCCTTGAAATCTATAAAAGCTATACAACTTTGAGTGCAAACCTCCCTACCCACAATGGCTGCTCATAGTGTGCACCCAGGGTGGGCAGAGCCATGTTCACCTGTCAGTTCTTCCATAACTGCCACAGCAGCTGTCTCTGAAGGGACCTTCTTATTCTCCGTTTCTTTGAACTATCTAAATTTTACAAAAGAAAGGAGCAAAGAAAAATTTACTTTGCTGTGAGCTGCATTGCATGCCTATGGCACAGTACACAATGTTTAAGAATTGTTCTGCCTGCAAGGGAAAAGTCCCATCCACAGATGGACATTGTCTTATGTTTGGGTAGGGGAGGACTCCTACCAGCATTGCCTTAAGTCTACAAAACAAGCTAGATGTAATAATGATAACAGACTAAAGACTATGTTGTGGGAGAAAGCTCAAATGACTGCATCCTTGCCCATGTGCATGCTTTGCTGATGGCATCCATCCATCCGCCTGTCTGCCGTCTGCCTAAGCACTGGGACATCTCACAGCCGAAAGAAGAAGCCGAGCCGGGAAAAGTGAATGACACCGAGCCTCCACCAGGGTGCCGGTAGGCAGCCCCTCCCTTGAACTGATGTGGCCGTAGTTAGGGTTGATATAGGTGACTAGCACCCAAGAATTGTAAACCGCCCAGAGAGGGTGGTATATCAAGTCGAATGATAAATAAATAAATAAATAAATAAAACAACAGATTCCATGGCATCGGTATCAAGAGGCCCAAACCCACAGAACTCCCAGTTAGCAGAAACAGCTCTTGTGCAAAAAAATCTGCTGAGCTGAAGATACAGGTGCAGAAATCAAAGGCTGCTAAACGTCATGCTTCAGAGGAGTTAGGAAGTGATCACAAGAAGTAAAAAAGAACAAACTGAAACATGGCGAGCCATGTGCACCCACTGATACTTCAGTGGTATCTCAAAAATCAGTGCCGATACAGGGCACAGAGGTCATCATACCAGTCCTGGAAGTCTTCCAAGCAGTGCCCCTACCAGAGCAGCAGATTGAAGATATGTCAGTAGATGGGGTGCAAAATATCAGTCTCTGGCAGGAAAAAGCCACCTCCTGGTGTCAGAGAAGTGATCAATACTGAGAAATGCAGCACAGCAGCAGTTTGTGCCTTTTCTTGGTATCAGAGTACTCTCCAGTGAGGGAGTTGATTCCACAGTCTCAGATCTGTAGTCATGGCTTTGACAGGGTCAAGTCTTACAGAGAGATATATGGAAGGTATTATATATCTGGAAGCTGATCTCCCTATTACAGTTGTTATGCCCAGAACCAAGAATATTATTTTTCACAGAGGAGTTACACAGGTTGCAGCCCAGTATGTTCTCTGTGATGCTGCAGTGAGTCACTCTTTCAGGTCAAGGAGCAATTATTAAAAGATATGATAGATCTGCATTTTCAGACCTTTACCAGCCTGTGTTCTAAGCGTTTTACAACTGAATGCCAAAAAGACATGGAAGCATGAGATCTCTCTTGGATTGGATATGCGTGGGCGGGTTGTAAATGTTTTCATTGTGGGAAATTCAGAATAATTTCAGTTTCCTCTATCCTGTCTCTCCTAAAGGTAGACATGTTTTTAATCTCCATAAATCTGATGTATGCATATTTTCTTATGTCCATCTGTCCACAACACAGACAATATCTTCAACTTGCCATAGGGAGCATGCACTACTAGTACAAGGTTCTACCTTTCAGCCTGTCAACTGCCTCTCGGGTTTTCACCAAATGTGTGGCAGTAGTGACAGCGTATCTTCACAGGAAGGGTATTGGATGAATGACTGGCTGCTACTTCGTATGTCTGCCCAGACATTACTTCAGCACCTGAAGACAACAGTGCAGTTGCTGAATCAGTTGCGATTGAGGGTGAATGTGAAGAAATCCCATTTTGACCATGTGCAGTGTCTGCAGTTCACAGGAGTAGTGTTAAATTCAATCACGGGCTGGGTATTCCTACCACAGGGAAGAGAAGAACGTATCAGATCCCTTGTGAGGCAGGTTCTTGCTCAGCTGGAACAAAGGCAGTTACAGTTTAGAGATTATTAGGACTCATGGCATCCACCACAGCAGTAACACCTTGTGTGTGGCTGATTATGAGACTGTTGCAAATTTGGTATCACAAGGTGTTCAGCCCAAAAATTCAGAAGCTGTCAACTGTTCCGTGTGCACCAAGGTTAGTATGATGCTCCCTTGTTTGGTGGCTCAAGACAATTCATCAAGATACCAACTCGGGTCACTTTGAAAACAGATCTGTCACTTCGCTCATTGCAAGAGACATTCAGTGAACCTGGCTTGGACTTACAGAGAGGCTGCAGTGCACATCAGTGTATTGGAACTTCTCAAGCCAATTCAGGCTTTTTCTCCAATCATCAGGTACAAGTCAGCTCACATAGCAATGGACAGTATCTCAGTGGTGTATTGAATCAACAAACAGGGAAGAACAAGTTCACCTTCCCTGTGCACCCTAGCATGCAGCCTGTGAGAACAGTGTATGCAGTACAATGTCCATATTTCAGAAGTACATGTTCCACAAAACCAGTCTATATTAGCAAATGCATTAAGCAGGCGGGTATGTGGCCCACAAGTGGTCCATGAGTGACAGGGTCCTGACAAAATTATTTGCTCAGTGGGGAATGCCAACAGTAAATGTGCATGCTTTGCTGATGAATTATGAATGCCCAGTGTATTACATGAATGGGGAAGCGGGGAGAGGTTCAAAACATGATGCATTCATTGTTTACATGTTCCCACCTCTGTCCATGATGTTTGTTGTTGTTCAGTCGCACAGTTGAGTCCAACTCTTCGCGATCCCATGGACCAGATCACGCCAGGCCTTCCTGTCTTCCACCATCCTCTGAAGTTTGCTCAATTTCATGTTCGTTGCATCTATGACACTGTCTAACCATCTCATTCTTTTCCGTCCCCGTCTTCTTTGACCTTCAATCTTTCCCAGCATCAGGGTCTTCTCCAGTGAGTGCTCCCTTCTCATTTGGTGGCCAAAGTATTTGAGCTTCAGTTTCATTATCTGGCCTTCCAGGGAACAGTCAGGGTTGATTTCTTTTAGGATTGACTGATTTGATCTTCTTGCAGTCCAAGGGACTCTCAAGAGTCTTCTCCAGCACCATAGTTCAAAAGAATCTATTCTTCGGCGCTCGCCCTTCCTTATAGTCCAACTCTCGCAGCCATACATGACTACTGGGAATACCATTGGTTTGACCATGCGGACTTTTGTTGGCAGGGTGATGTCTCTACTTTTTATCATACTGTTTAGGTTCGCCATTGCTTTCCTCCCAAGGAGCAGGCATCTTTTAATTTCATGGCTGCTGTCACAGTCTGCGGTGATCTGGGATCCCAGGAACGTGAAGTCTGTCACTACTTCCACGACTTCCCCTTCTATTTGCCAAGGAGTGATGGGGCTGGATGCCATGATCTTAGTTTTTTTGATGTTGAGCTTCAAGCCCACTTTTGCGCTCTCCTCTTTTACTTTGAGCAAGAGGCTCTTTAGATCCTCTTCACTTTCTGCCATTAGAGTGGTTTCGTCTGCATATCTGAGGTTGTGGATCTTTTCCCCAGCAATTTTAATTCCCGCTTGTGATTCATCCAGGCCAGCATTTTGCATGATGTACTCTGCATATATATTAAATAAGTAAGGTGACAATATAAATGCTTTATAAAATAAGGGTGGACTGGACCATTTGCATCCTTAATTGCACCATTCTGGCCAAGATGGGTGTGGTTTCTGACACTACTACAAATGGCAAGGGGTTGGTAACTGCCGCTTCTGAGAAACAGTGATTTACTAACAGTGATTTCCTATTTAGGTATTTCAGTAAGATGTGGCCAAACTGCATCTGAAAGCATGGAGAATCAGCTTCTTGGCCAGACTAGGTGTGGAAGGTGTAGGATAATGCACAAAAGCTATGAGCCAAGAAATTATATAATGTTCAGTGGATGCTTTTTGTAGCATATACAAGAGGTCAAGGTTTGGATCCACTGATGTGTTCCATAATGAACCTATTTTGAGGGGAGTCTCCATACCTGATCTTTGTAAGGCGGCCACATGGGCATGTTCTTCACAATTCATATGATATTATGCAATGGATGTTAGAGCAAGGAGAGGTGCAACATTTGGAAAAGCTGTTTCAAACGCATTATTTTCATAAATCAATTACACAGTGGTTTGTGATTTGTTATGTTAGTAACCTTCACCTGTCATCACGGTTGAACTATGGACGACGTACAGTATCAGGTACATTCCAAAAACTACAAGTACACTAAACATGTTCAAGAACTATATATATAAAATACCTATCAGGCTTATTCACCTGTTGCCACCTCTGGGGTTTTAACCTTGCTAATCTATCCCATATGTGTGGTTCACAGAGACCACAAAGAAGTAAAACAGGTTGCTTACCTGTAACTGATGTTCTTCAACTGGTCATCTATGCAGTCACACAACCCGCCCAGCCTTCCCCAACACAGGTGTATGTAATTTATCTAGCCTGCTGTGCCATTAGGAAGAACTGATGGGTGAGTGTGGTTCTGCCCGCTGTGCCTTGTGGGTAGGGAGACTCAAAGGTTCTGAGGCTCTGCCTGCCTATGCTTGAGATCCCATATGTGTAACTTGAAGAACATTAGTTATAGGTAAGCAGCCTGTTTTTTCATTTTATTCAGTACAGCAATGTTTCGTGATTGGCCATGGCCACTGATATCTGTGGACTGATACTGATTGGGAAGTTGCTTGTCTAGAAAGGCTTACAAATACAGATGTAGAATTTGTGTGTATAAGTGAAGGGATATAGCAGTCCTTGTCTAATTTTGTGAGCTTGATAACTGAAGAAATCCTTACCAGTATAACTGCTATAGCTATCTTCAAAGGTGTGCAGTAACTCTTCTTTCTCTTTAGTAGACAACTGCTGTATTAATCACCATTTTCTCTCTGTTTCAATCCAGCGTCAAGCTCTGAGTGCAGGAGTGTTTTTCTTTCGGTGTCCAGTATGCAACAATAAAGAGAAATTTCAGAATGAAATGTTGAGAATGGGTGTTCATATTCCAGAAAAGTAAGTACTTCTCAAAATAGTATCATTCTGAAGTGTCTAGACTAGAGTATTATCTGAAACTAATAAACGGTTAGGGGTTCCCCCCCCCCTTTGACTTTTTGTTATATACATTTTCTATAATATTAAAGCAAGATGAAAATAGCTTGCTAAATTCTATCAAATCTGTATTGGAAGTTCAGCGTAAATATTTATGAAGTTCAGTTGATGATGGATGAAAATGCAGAGCCCAGTATGGTGAACCAGGGTTGATTCCACCCATCAAAATGAAAACTAGATGTAAATGCATTCTAAAACTAAGGAACATAGATCTGAGACCGATTTCCCACAAGCTGCTGCTCTGCGTTCGCTCTTCCCTTTGCCCCGATCATACGTGTCAATTTCACACTATGTGTTGCGCGGCCGCATTTTGCCCCACAGCTTCGCCTGATTTTCCTCGTGTCTACTCAATCCTGTTTTTTGAGGATTGAGTAGACGCGGGGAAAATCAGGCGAAGCTGCGGAGCAAAATGCGGCCACGCAGCACCTACTGTTAAATTGATACGTAAGATTGGAGCAAAGGGAAAAGAGAGCACGGAAGAGCGGCTAGTGGGAAATCGGTCTGATTAAATCTACTCAGACTTAAGGCTAGTATTTTCTCTTTATAGGTAATTTATTAAACACTAAGAACAAGCAGGCAGGTAAGGAGAGCAATAACCATGTTTGATTTGCACAGATGTAATATGAAACCATGGTCAATAGGAGGAAGAGAAGAAATCCTTCCCTGGAGTGGAGCAAGTAGACATTCATAATGAGGTCACCTGATTTACGAATGATGGTTTGCATTAGCCACAAGTGTGAATGCACCTGCCCATTTAAGTTGTTAGTTGGGAGGTCTGAATTGCAAGCTGTCAAGAGCTGATCTTTCTATTTTTGTGGTACTATTTGCTCAGACTATTTTAACATGAATGGGCAAATTGGAGACCAAAAATGTTCTTTGTTTTAAAAAATCTTTGTGTGTTTCTAGAGATGCCTCCTGGGAACTGGAAGAGAATGCATACCAGGATCTTCTTCAGTGTTACCAGCACTGTGATATCAGAAGATGCATGTGTAAAAATGGAAGAGACTACAATAAGCCTGATAGGTATTTTATATATGTAGTTCTTGAACATGTTTAGTGTACTTGTAGTTTTTTGAATGTACCTAGTACTGTATGTCGTCCATAGTTCAACTGTGATGACCAGACAACTCAGTTGTATACCGAGTCAGAGCTTCAGAAGCATAGTGGACCACTGTTTCTTTTTTCTGTTTTTTACAAAATGAGGAAGGCAGGCAACAGCTACACACCCTTTCATGATGCCTGGATCAAGTTTCAGCTGAGCCCATTCCCCCATTCAGCTGTTAACTGCCATTTCTCTGCCCATTAGGAGAGGAGAAAATGCCATGTCTGGGCCCAGATCTTTCTGAGAACTTCTCCTCCCCCTCAAAACCCCATGCATTAATTTGTACAGCAGTTTAATTGGTATTTGCAATATTAAGTGCTCTAGCAACTTTGGATGTTAATTTTTGGCTGAAAACCAGGCTAAAATCTCAAAGGATAAAACATTAGACATTTATTGCTGAAAAATTAGTATAAACTGAGTGCACTATTTTGAATTTTCTAGCATGAAATTCTACTTTTAAGATACTGATCATGAACGCTCGTGGGGGGGGGGGAGCATTACTAATCTTCCATCCCTACCATCCATTTTACCACACAAAAATGCATGTGGCAACTAGAAATGGTCAGGCTCCCCTTTCTTTCCTTTTCCTTTTCCTTTTTTTTCTTTCGTCACGTTGCAGCTGAGCTGTGGTGAACCCATAGAGTTTTCAGAGGTAATTTGACATTGCCTGCCTCTGAGTAGCAACCCTAGACTTCCTCAGTGGTCTCCCATCCAAGTACTAACCAGGCCTAACCCTGAACCTGGATTATACAGGTGAGGGCAAACTCCCGTTAGTTGACTTCAGTTTACATTTACTTTTGTGAGTTTTCTTCCAAGCACTTTGTGTGAAAAAAGCCCTCACACTTGCAAAAGGGGAGTGTAAACTACAATATACTGATGTCTAAGCAGCTTTGTACGGTTAATGAGATATACTGAGTTTGTTTTGCTATAGTTAACTGTCTTAATTTCAATTTATTTTCTTTCAGTAAATGGGAAATAAAACGCTGTCAATGTTGTGGTTCCAGTGGAACCCATTTGGCATGTTCTTCATTAGCAACATGGGAGCAAAACTGGGAATGCATAGAATGTAGAAGCATCCTTGCCACGTCAAATGGTATGAAATATTAATTTATTGTCTTATGTACTTGGATTAATTGAAATATTTTGAAATATTGCTGGAAAAATAACATGAGGTTTCATTTCATTGTACAGGTAGCTGCCAGAAATGGCGAAAACGTTCCTTGACAGTATCAGAAAAAACAGACATTGGAGACAGTTTGCTTGAAGAACCATCACCAAAATACACAAGACAGTCTCCTGGATCCCATCTTGGCTTCCTAGTCAGGCACGTAGTTTTCTTTCTTTTGCAACTGCTAGGGAACGTATAGGCAAATAGTAGTTGGGTTTCTAGAAATAAACTAGTTTGAAACTTGTTCTTGGATCATCCAGTAACTATAGCCTATCATGTCTGTTTAATAAATTTGAAACTCCTCAAAGATCTGGAGTCGTTTTTCACCCGTAGTTCCAGTTCTTTGGAATGGACTTGATGGGGAGATTTGGAAAGCTTGTATGCATCTTTCTTTCCGAAAGAAATTCAAGGCAGTGTTTTTTTTTTCACAGGGTTTGTCAGGCGTCAAGGTATTTTGTTCGCTATTAGATGGATTGTCTTTCAAAATTGTGCCTGGATTTTTAATTGCAAAAGAACGCACATCCAAGTCTCTACTAACATCAGTTGGGGCCCATACATGAACACACACACACACACATATATATATATTATTCATAGTATATGTTTGTATGGAAATGTCTGATGGCACTGTCTGTTGGAGATAATAACATAAGAACCCTGCTTGATAAGACCAGTGGTCCATCTAAGCCATCATCCTGTTTCACACAGCAGCCAACTACCCTGGAGGGCCAAAAACAGGGCATAGAAGCCAAGGCCTTCCCCTGATGTTGCCTCCAAGCACTAATATTCAGAGGCTTTTGTATGCACTCAACACTTCTTCAGATACAATGTGTCACTGGGACTCAAACTTTGTTCTGTTGCTTCAGACTAACATGGCTACCCACCTAAATCTGCCTCTAACCATGGTTAGTAGCCACTAATGGACTTATCCTCCATGAATCTTTCTAATCCCTCTTTAAAGCCATTTTACTACTGGCCACCACTACATCCTCTGCCACTAAATTCTATAGCTTAATTAATTGTGGAGTGAAGCAGTATTTTCTTTTGTCTGTCCTGAATCACTTTACGCCCCCAAGTTCTAGTATTTTGGGAGACTGGGAAGGCATCTTCTCAATTAATTCCCTCCACCACATGCATAAATTTATAAACCTGTATCATACTCACCCTTAGTTGTCTCTTTTCTAAATTGAGAAGTCCCAGACTTCTCAGCCTTTACTTATGGGAAACACATTCCTACCCCTTAGCTATCTTGGTTGCCTTCTTACATAATTTTTCCATCTGTGCAATAACCCTTTTGAGATATGGCTACCAGAACTGTACCCACTATTCCAGTTCACACCATTTATCTATGCTGAGACATTACAATTTTTGCTGTTTCTTTTTCAGTTCCTTTTGTAATAATCCCCAGCATGGATATTGCCTTTTTCACACACTGGCTCAATGTTTTCGTTGACCTATTCATTACAACCCCAAAATATTTCTGTCTCAGCCAGTTCAGACCCCATCAGCATACATTTATACATTAAGCTTCTCTTCTCATGTTTCCCACTTATCCAATTTCAAGAGATTCTCCTGGAGGTCTTCACAATCAGCCCTTGTTTTTACCATCCTGCATAATTTTATATCATCCACAGGCTTGACCACTACATTGCTCACCCTCAGTTCCAGATCATTTAAATAGCATAGTTCTAGCACTAATCTTTGTGGAACCCCTCTGCTCATATCCCTCCATTACTAGAACGGTCCATTTATACATATTCTCTTTCCTGTTTAACCAATTTTTAATCCACATAAAAGAATGTGCTAGGCTTATTCAGGAATCTTTGATGAGGTACATTGACCATGTCCATTTATTCATATTCTCTTTCCTGTTTAACCAATTTCTAATCCACATAAAAGAATGTGCTGGGCTTACTCAGGAATCTTTGATGAGGTACATTGACCAAAGCCTTTTAAAGTCAGAGTAGATAATGTCTGAGATCACCCTTATTTATCTACAAGCTTAACTCCAAAAGTTTGGTGAGGCAGGAATTCTGTTTGCAGTAATCATGTAGATTTTCCCTTGGTAGGTTTTGTTCTTCTATTTGTTTAATAATTCTCTCCGGAACAGTTTCTACTGATTTATCTGGGGCAGATGTTAGGCTAACTGGTTTTAACATCTTGGATCCATCTTTAAAAATTAGTGTACCATTTGCTGCTTTCTAGGGCTCCAGCACAAAATCAAATTTTAACAACTACCTATCAACAGTTTTGCATTTGAGATCATTAAGAATTCATACTCTATCTCAGGCATGTCAAACATACAGCCCGTGGACCAGAACTGGCCCATGAGCAACTGTGATGAATGATACCCCCATGCTGAGGTCCCTCCCTTCCCCAAACACAGACCCTCCCCAGAGTCTTCCCCCAAATCCCCAGGGATTGTCCAACCCAGAACTGGCAACCGTAAGGGATGAGGAAGGCTGGTTTGGCCCTGAGCTGTATGCAGCCAGCCCCCTTGAGGCCTGGCTGCTGCCCTCAGCTGGGACACACTATCTGCTGCTGCCTCCTCTGGCCAGAGCATGTTGGGTTCCTGTGTCTGTCACCTGGGCTGCTGGAAAGATGGCTGGCTGCTCATGTGCGGCAGGCAGAATCTCTTTGGCTGTGACTTTCCACTTTCAGGCAGCCCAGGGAAGGCTGTGGGCACAGGTGCCTGTGGAAAGCTGCTGGCTGGTTCCCCAAATGTGCCCACTCACGTAAGCATGTGAATGGAGTGACTGGCTGGGCCGGAGGCGTTATGTGCAGCAGCCTGGACAAGAGGAAATAAATTAAATAAATAATGATGATGCGTGTGTGGAACACTGAGAGTCAGGGTGGAGGGGGCCCACCAAGTCAGGTGAGCTGAACCCGAATGTGTGCGGCTTCCCTCCTGCCTCCCTCCCTTGGCAGCATGGAGAGGATTAAATAAGAGGCAAAGCCAAAATGTATGCACTCTCCCTGTGCTCCATGCACACAAAGTGCTGCATTCTGTAACAATCTGACTGGAAGGGGTGAGGTGAAGGTCAGGGACAGGAGCAGGCCCTCAGAAAAGCCTGCTGGGTTTGCACAGAGCAGAGGCAGGCGGTGCACATGCATCTGTGCGCTTGCACATGGGGAGTAATATTTTGAGTGGTTAGATAATGCCGTGGAGCTAGCAGGAAATAAAAGTCTGCAAAAGGCATTTAAAGTGGAGCTGGCATCTTTGAAGAGTGACAGTGCTTCAGGTTTGTGTGTGCTGGGGAGCTTGCAGTTCTTCTTGCAGTTCAAGCTTGATGCTGAATTTGGGACTTTGACAGAGGGAGGTGTGAGACTGTGCGGCCACCTCACCCCTCTCCCCTCCCCAAAGCCTGTTGTCCATAGCAGTTTCTTTATGGCAGGGCTTGTTAGGTTCCCCTGGTTGATGCCACTTGGCTACCTGTCTTTGGCTGCCACACCTGCAGCGATGGAATGCAGCACCTCATGCTCTAGATCAAAAGCTTCTGACAATTATGTTGGTCTTTAAAGAGCCATGACAGTCTCTGGTTATTGCACATTGATTGTCAGGCAGTAGCTCTCTGTGCTGTACAAAACTTCTTTTGTATATTGACCAAAGGGTGGTTAGTTAGGTGCCAAGGAGGGGTGTGGGTAAGTGGTAAAATATCTCCAGTACCTGACATTACATTTTATGGCATCATGGCTCGGGCCGATAAAGCGATATTTATGTCAGATCTGGCCCTCATAACAAATGAGTTCGAAACCTCTGCTCTGAACTTGTAGATCTGCTGATTTCAGCTGAAGGAGAAGTGCCCCTTGCTCTAGGAGAAGGAGCATTTTGAATTTATGCAGTTCATACGTAGAAATGTCTAACTTCTTTTTCCATTCAGGTCTCCAAAGAGGATGTGCCACAGTGGTTTGACTCATTGTTCTCCGCTGGATCTTCCCTCTCCTAACATATTGATGTCCCCAACATCTTTGATCAGTCCTTCAGTGAGGAATCTGTCACTAGGAAAAATGTAAGTAAATATCAAGCATTCAGATTGGGTTCAGTGGCAGGGGATGGTGGTAGGAATCCAAAAAGCTGCTTGAAAATTGTATTAGCTCAGTGAATTTTCTTTCTGTGAACATCTGGCTCCATATTTTATCACACACTGCTCTTGAATGTCTTCACCTTAGTTCTAAAGCAGTTTTTAATGTGAGCAAAAATTTTACTTTGTAAGCATTAAAGTTGTGAGCGAGCTATTTGGCTTCTGCATAAATTAGTTTGCTCTGGGGCCATCCTTCCTGAGCTAGAACAAAAATATGTGAGCCGAAGGCTAAAAAACTGTGAGCTAGCTCACACTAACTCAGCTTAGAGGGAACACTGGATGGGAGTGACCTTGGGCTCACAGCTTAATTCCTTTAGTCTTTAGATCCCTAGTCATTGTTTTTATGGTGATGCATGTTTTCCTGACTTCTGATATCTCATGGTACTAAATACTTTTGACAGACCATAAAGTTTCCATCAGCTTTTTGTGTGTGTGTGTGGTAATGGTGGTGGTGGGGTAACCATGTGATTGTCAAGTTACTATACTGAGCCGATGACTACTTCTTGAACACAGATTTCTTCAAACACAAAGTGTCCACAGAAATGAGTATTCAGATTCAGAATTCTTGCTTCATGTGTTCAAAATAGTTGCTGCACTAATCAAAGAACTAATTTTATACTGTTTTAGGCAACTTGGAATGCAAAAAAGAGAAGCCTGCAATCTTCTAAGGGAATTGAGATCACAGATTAATACCAAACCAATCACGTTAAATATCAATAAGCAAAATATCTGGGATGGCGCCTTAAAGGGTTTTCGAAAGCGAAGCTTCAATCCTGCCAATACTATCGAAGTAAATTATATAAACTGCAGGGGTAAAGTAGAAAGGAATATCTGTGATTCATCAAAGGAAGATTTTTTTCAGTCACTGATGCTTCACCTTCAGAACTCATCACTCTTTGAAGGCGGTTCTTCAAAGAACTTATCTTTTGATGCTCAAGGTAAATCGATAACATTTTAAATACTTGTAACAAAAATAATACTGTAATACAGATTTTGTTGGAGATCTTCAGGAGGCACTGCAAGGCTTATTTGTTTGCCAGGGCATTTCATGGGATATGAACAGCAGACATCTTTTAGAGTGGGACAGTGAGATTTTTTATTTTATTTTTTAATCTGTAATGTTTTAATTATATGTGGTGGAATGGCCCTTCTGACCCATGACCCCTGATCCATTTTGTTTCTCTGAGGTGTATAGGCACCAGCCCCCATCCCAACTCTGCACAATGACACACCACTCTCCTGGCACATTTCTTCTTCAGTACACTGATCGGGAGCTTGGAGACCAAGCCCTACAAGGAAAGGCTGAGGACCTTGGGAATGTTCAGTCTGAAGTAGAGGAGGGACACGATTGCTCTCTTTAAGTATTTGAAAGGCTGTCACTTAGAGGGGGGCAAGGAACTGTTCCTGTTGGCAGCAGAGGATAGGACTCACAATAGTGGGTCTAAATTACACACAGAAAGGTACTGGCTGGATATTTCTAGAGTAGTTCAGCATTGGAATCCAATCTCTTCTCTTCTTCTTCTTCATTGGAATTGGCTGTGTAGGAATGTGGTGAGCTCCTTACTGGCAGTCTTCAAGCAGCAGCTGGACAAACACTTGTCCGGGATGCTTTAGGCTGATACTTTATTGAACATGGGATTGAACTATTTTATTTTTTGTGGTTTATATCCCGCCCTACCCTGCAAGCAGGTTCAGGGAGGCTCATATCATATCACAATACAGCAGCAGTTTAAAACATTAAACAATCATTAAGAAGTAAAATGTTAAATAAGTACAATATTAAATAATCCACACAATAATCCGATTCTTCTAACCAACAGTTTAGCAATTGATTACATATTAAAGTATGCCGACCCCATGCAAGAAGGGGCAATGGATCAGGTCGGCCACTCCCGGCAACAGTTGATATACAAGCTTTATTGGTGGCTGATGTAGGGGAGGCCGATGGCTCTTTTTGTACGCAGGGCTCTTTTTGTAGCAGGAACTCCTTTGCATATTAGGTGACACACCCCTAATGTAGCCAATCCTCCAAGAGTTTTACAGAGCTCTTTTTACAAGGGCTACTGTAAGCTCTTGGAGGATTGGCTACATTAGGGGTGTGTCGCCTAATATGCAAAGGAGTACCTGCTATAAAAAGAGCCCTGCATGATGCCTCAACCAAAGGCCTGGTGGAACAGCTCCATTTTGCGGGCCCTGTGGAATTGTAACGTCCCGCAAGGCCCTAATCTCAATTGGGAGCATGTTCCACTGGGCCAGGGCCAGATGTCTCTCAGGGTGTCCGGTGCTGGTCAGCAGAGCACAAGGCTCTGCAGAGGATATATGGGGAGAGATGGTCTGACAGGTATGCTGGTCCCTGGCCACAAAGGACCTTAAACTAAATGGGCTGTGACCACTTCCAATTCTGTGATTCTATATAGAGATGTAAAATTTCCGGAAATTTTGAAGCTTTTTTGGGGGGGGAAACAGAAATTTTCGGAAAAATTGAAAAAAATGCTACATTAGCATTTCTTTTGTCTTTTCTAGATTGAAAGTCATTCTGTTACTTTAGGAACATAAAATATGACTATGGACATTTTTACATGGCATGAAATACTATGGACATTTTTACTCGGCATGAAATTATCACAACTAGCATATTAAAGATATAGCGTACCCAAACAATTATTACAAACAGAATACCCACCCACATGTAAAAACAAAACTGAAACCTTTTTCTTTTCTTCTGACAATAGCACCTCCTAAAGGAAGAAATGCATCTGGTTCTTGCATTGGAGAGTTCAGTTTGTAACCTAGGACTTGCTTGTCCTCAGTGCACAGAAATTAGATCAATCTGAAATTATTTGGAAAATATTTGAACACCTTGTCTTAAAATATTTTATTTATCATGTTAAAATCTTCTGCTGCTGTTCAGGCGGCAAAGCGAGAAGGGCCCCGCTGGCCACGATGCTTTACAGCAGTCTCCCAAGGACACACCAGAAGTGTGTCAGAAGGCAACACCCACCGCTCAGGCTCCACCCCAA